TAACCCGATTTGGACTGCAGGAGTATCTATCGTCACTGGACTACATGCTGGGTCGTTTCCAGAGGGCGATCGATACACAAAGGCATTGGAAAAGAGGAGGCTGAAGGAAAAGTATTTCAAATCGCTGGAGAAGATTTCATGTGCCCAGTTGGAGAAGGCCTTTGTCCGCGTGTCGACACCTTGGGCAGATAGATACAAGCTCGGGCTTGCTCTAATTGTGGAAGGAGTTGTCACTGCTCTGGACAACAATGTCGGCATTGATGAGGATATGCTTGCCCTCGTGGACGACTTGGAGCTATTTTTTTGTATCCCTAGGTCAAAGTGGGGTATAGGCATTTGTTGAAGGGATTCCAAGGTACTTGGGCATATAAAATGAGTGATGCAAAGATGAAGAACGAGAAGGACGTCAGTTACACAATTCACGAATTTCTGATCGTCATGCAGGTAAGAAAAACATTATGTTTATGTGTTTTGTTCGTCAGTATTACACCATGTCTCCACAGTGTTTGGATGGATATTAATGTGACAACTTTTTTGTTATCGTCCGGACAGATTTGGGCATATGAGGCCATGCCCGAACTCGACGAACGCTTCGGTGAGCAGGTAGGTGAACGCTCGCCTCGATTTCTATGCCGGACCTCTACCAAACAACCGCAGTAGTGTACATACGATGCGTTCTTCAAGGACATACAGGTCATGGACATTTTTCATTTGCCTTTCAATTATTTTGTTTCCTTGGGAATAGTATACAATATATTTTAACTACATGTTCTTCCCTATTTCTACAGCTGCATGTGCACGCCACACTGCGTCCCACGGAGGTCGAGCGTGATCTGCCATACATCGCCATTTTGGTGCCATTTCCCCGACTGTCCAATGGAATTTTTTGACGACCTCGCTAGTACTGTTGTCGGGCCACAATTCCATGAGGCGGCACCAGCCAGTGGGGGACATGAGGGTAGTGCTGAGGGTGACGAGCATGACGACGAGTCCGGTGTAGGGGCCGAGGACGATGAGACATCCGCGAACGACGACCGTCAGACACAGGAGGGCAACGGGGATGATAGGTCTAAGGCTAATGACAGTGGAGATAGCGATCGCGACGCCTCCAGTGAGACGGTGTTGGTGACACCGAGGACGACAAGGATGCCTCGGGACGACAGTCGGGTGCGTTACCCACTCCAATGGTTGTCCCGTCCACATCTGGGGTACAGGGTACGCATGGTGGACCAACTGTGACGAGGGACGACGTGGAGGGCATGTTGTATGACCAGCGCATCCTCTTCAAGATGAGGTTACAGACTGTGAAGCTTGAAATCATGCAGCACATGACCGAGGAGTTTGCCAAACTGAGGGACTTCATATCTACCTTGGTGCCCCCGTTCGGTGGCACCTTCACTTCCACTGTAGCTCCAGTCATGAATGAGCCAAACATTTGGAACGACCCCCATGAAAGTATGAGTTTATATTACTATAACTTCCAGTTGCATCATGTCTACAGAGCTGTGTAATTTTTCCTATGTGTTCGCTTACAAATGTATTTTTTAAATTGTTAAATTACTTAGATGTAGATGGAGGAGACATGGACCTGTGCCTAGATGACGGTGGCCGTCCTTCGCCTACAGGGAACTTGGAGGTGAATGGTACGTCAGTTAGTTATGTGTAACACATATTTGTATTTGATGTCATCTCATCTCGTGATATCTAACTGTATTCAATTTCAAAGTGGACAAGTAATTTTTTTTGTTTTCCAGCTAGAATGGGAAGGCAGCGACGAACAGAGTGCACATGACGACAACGAGGCAGAGGAGGCGGAAAAGCAGAAGGTGAATGGTACGTGCGTAATTTTTGTATTTTATGTCATCTCATCTCGTGATATGCAAATGTATTCAACTTCACTCGTTCAATAATTTTTTCTTTGTTTTCGAGTATTTGGGGAAGGAAGAGACGAACGGAGCCGGCACGACGACGACCATGCAGACGACGGTGAAATGTAGGAGGTGAACGGCACGTGCGTAATTTTTTTCAACTTCTGTCATTTCATCTCGTCATATGCATATGTATTTAAATTCACTCCTTCATTAATATTTTCTTTGTCTTCCAAGTAAACGGGGAAGGTGGAGAGGAACGGAGCCCACAGGACGATGATCGTGCAGAGGAAGGTGACATGCAGTAGGTGAATGGTATGTGCGTAATTTTTTCCAACTTCTGTGATTTGGGTTCTATTACCAATCACTTCCCCCCTACGCAAATGATAATTCATATATTGTGTTTGTCCATTTCACCCAATTTACTTTCAACTAGACCTAGGAGAGACCGTCTCCACCCTCCCTAGCGACGAGAATGAGGAAAGCTCATCAACCTATAACATCACGGAGGTGGACGGTACGTGCCTATTTTCCTTGAATAATCTGATTCCATGAATATGTGGCCTCCTGCACACATAATTGTTTCACAAAAATGCTGAAATTGTTTATATGAGCGCTGCCACAGAGTTGCCGGCACAGGTGACCATACCAAAAAATGGAGGCAATGTGGCCAGCACAAACAGGCGGCGATTGACTCGTGTTCGACGTCCTGCACCACCTACTCGGACTTCATACACGAGGGAAAGGGCAAAGAGAGTAAAGAAATAAGTGAGTTCAAGTTGTTTGGTAAGGTGTGTTGTAGTAGTAGATACGTTCTTTGTAACGAGTACATGCTTTTAATTTGGTTTATTTTATGGACGGATACGTTTGCTCAGCCATTTGTTACACGTTAAACTGTCTTATGTAGAGTACATATCATTTTGAGATAATAAATGTTTAGTGCAAACATGAGATGGTATTGTCGGTCAATTTTGTGTCTACGCATTGACGAAATAATGCATGTATTGTTCATAAAATATACTACATGTTAAACTGTCTTATGTAGAGTACATATCGTTTTGGGATATTAGATGTTTAGTGCAAGCATGGGATGATATTATCGGTCTATTTTGTGTGTATGCATTGACAAAATAATGCATGTATTGTTCTAGGAAATGTGAAACGGTAGATCAACATCACAACTAAAATGAATGGATCGCATGCACGTTTCGTACTCCATGGGTGAGTAAATTTTTTGGTTTTTACGTTGATTGGAAGGATAGTTACGAACATTCTCTGTTGTGTCATTTCACTGTAGCAGACACCTGATGCAGGTAGGCAGCAAATTCATTCTGAGGGCTGATTTTTGAGTTCATCATGTGCATTCATCGAGGTGTGATGACGAATTTTTGCAAAACGATGAAGAGTAAAAAAAAAATGAAGGCTGAGTCTAAATCAACAGGTGTAGTGAGTAGCACCAAAAAACAGCCAAATGGATCCAAACCTGGGTTTATGCGTGAAGGTGCAACTGTGGAGACTATTACCCCTATTCCATATGATGTGGTTAATGATCTCAATGGGGGTAATGAGATTACTTAAATTTCATATTGGGATATGGTTAAGTGGAACGGACATTGAGACAGGACATTTGTTTGTACCCTAATTAAATTGAAGTAGTAGTATTTTGTATTTTAATTTCATTGGAGTTGAAGGTGTTATACCTGCACAAATGAATCATGGTATGTAATGATTTTGTGTGTAATGGAGCGTGGTCGAAGGATCGAGAACAATGATTATTGTCAAATTCGAATTACCGTAGTATGAATAATTCGTTTTTATCTTTGCTACGTTGGCCCCAACATTAAAACCAATGTATATTTTTTTCAACATGCGTTTTAATATAAATTTGTTTGTTCGTACAAATTAAAGTTTATTTGAGAAATGGCATGTTGTGTCACCCAATGTTCATCTTCATTGGCAGGGACATTAATTTTATCAATTTTTAATACAACTCATATGATTTAGAATGTACAAAATTGTATTCAATTATGACTAAGAACTACAAAAATTCAGTAAAGTAATTTAACTTCCAAATTGATTGCCAATCCAACTACAGGAATGTGGCCATTGCAGGTCTTGTACATGAGTACAATTTACTCATAATTCTCACCATTTATGGACTGCATTAAAGTACACTTACACCCTTAACCATCACACCAATGGTCAATCAAGTGTTAAATAGAAATGAAATGGTGGTTGGTTGTTAAATTGCTTTAAATGTCCTCAAATACCTCCAGTATAAAGCATGGCTTGCACTCTTCAAGTGAGATATATGAGACTCTTTGTGAGGCATCTTGTAGCAGGAATGTATCACAGTATTTGAAATCTGTTTCTTCATATGAAAACAATGGCATCATCCACGGAAAGCAATTCACTATTGGCAGTTGAGGAGCCTTTGTCGAATGTCCCATCATAATTTCTTCGTACGATGAGGAAGTGAGTTCAAATGGTGGTAGGAGAACCATCACTGTCATTCCCTTTCCGAACCTGGACGAAGTTGCAAGTGATGCAGGTGAGTCTTCGACAAATGTGCTTGAATGGGTCGTCTTATTTATGGATGCAGACGAAGTTGAATGTCATGAGGATGGGGGGCAGGGTTGCGTTCCATCGCCTAAGGTAATTGTCATTAGCTACGATAATGACGGTGGGGAAGAAGGTTCAAGTGTTAGCTTTGAGTGAAGAGTCCAGCTTCATTGCGTGTGTGGGTTTCTACGTAGGTATGTATAGTACTTTTTTGTAAGGGATGGATTTTGTTACGTATGTACCAATTCTGTAGTATGTAGGAAACTCCCGTGGGCAAGTTATGTGTATTTTGTATTATGTTAAACAGAGCATCGAACAACTGTTGAGAATGGCAGGCACCATCTGTCGGGAACGACAGGTGAACTATCGGGGTTTACTGGCAAATTGTCTATGTATGTAATATGAATATTCATATGACATGTATTTTGGGTGAACAAACACAACCTCATGTGTACAGTCAACGTACTTTGTGAACAATGCGGACAGTGTTATGTGCAAAAAGTCATGTATTCGTAATATGCATTTGAAAGGAAACATGTATAATGGTTGAACATTTCGTATTCCGTACATTCAATTTACATGTGTCAACAATGCCAACAATGTTATGCACAACAAAATTTTCTTTTGGTTCGAGGCTGTTATGCTGTACGTTGTGCCTATTTGCGTACTGTAATTGTGAACAAAAAAAGAGTAATGTTTATACGTAAGAGAATGAAAACAATAATACAATATTTACATTGTCATATACAAACAACATCGGGGGAGCACTTCACTTACAACTTCAATCACTCACGTGCAAAATGCTACTTACATCGGACGTGGTACAGTGTGGTTCGAACATGTGGTCCGGTTATAACTAAATCCATCGCAGCGAGTGCATTTTCTGAGCCGTGTGGTAGGTGGTCTACCTGGAGGACGACGTACACTGGGGGGCATAATAAGAGTACCTGTAATTTTAGCTGGAACATTCCAGTCCACTTCACGTAAAATAGGATATATAGCTTCTCTATAGGCACCCTTCCAATACTCAGATGTGTAATACAGTGAGCAGAGATCATACAATGACTTATCTCTCAAACAAGCAGCACGGGTTGCGTGAACGCACGATATACGATTCAGTTGGAACTCACGACAAGTGCACGTATTTTCAAAGAAGTCTATGATATCCGTGTCATTGGATATTTCAACTTGTGTTAAGTTATTTGTCAAGCCATGCGCTCGCAGCCTAGGACCTGCTTCGAACGTCGTCCATAACTCATTCTCCATCATTGGTGACAGAACTGTACTGCATGCGATTACACTCGCTCGACGTTCATAAAACCACTTCTGCATAGTACGCCGAATGTGTTCCACTAAGCACGTGATAGGTAACGAACGGACATGTTTCAACATTGAGTTCAAAGATTCTGCATCGTTGTTGGTCAAAATGTTGTACCGTTGGTCAACAAATAGTGCCCGTGACCAAAATGGGAAACCTGCTCGCTCTAAGTACGCGTACGCTTTTACACTTACCCTATGAAGCTATCTCATAAGTCTTTCAAACTCTTCGGTCCGGTAAGTTCTTGCGGCTCTTTTGAATAGAAATATTGAACTTGCGTTGTTGTACCGTTGGATTAAATTCTTTTCCATATGTCAGACACAGCACCCGTGGTGAGTCCGAAGAAATAGGTGGGCAATGGCGTTTTCAATACTATTTTTCCTGTCCGAAACAAACACCAATTCGTCCGAGTCACCTATAAGATCTTTCAAATTTGATAAAAATCATATCCACGATCTATTCGTTTTGGCATCAACGATCCCCCACGCTAACAGATAAATCTGTTGTTGGCGTCTTAGGCAGTTGCCAGTAGAAGGGTACCTTTGTACGGACCTTTCAAGTGACTATCGTCAACACAAATAACGGGCCTCAGGTAGTGCAGGTAACCCCGAATGCTTACACCGAAATCTAGGAAAAGGTAGAGAAACCTGTTACGAGAATATACTTCGATGTGTGTTATTGTCCCCGAGTTACTCTCTTCTAGGACATGACAGTAGGAAGAAAGTTTTTGAAAGCTATCACCCGGTGTACCATGTAGCATATGTAAAGCAACGACCTTTCCCCTACGTGCTTGATGGTAACTAATTTTTACACCAAACTCATGTTTCATGTCACGAGCAATTGCGGTATGATCATACGATCCGTACGTATTATCCAATTTCGCCATAATTTGCTCGGTAATTACGGAACTAATGGCATGTCGATGTGCATTACGGCGATAATCTATGGAACATGTGTGCACATTGTTGAATTTGCAGATCATGAAGATGGCGGACTGCTTGACACTCGAAACACGTAACATCCACTTGCAATTATTGTCCGCACATACAATGGTTAACATTTTTAGGCTTGACCTGCTAACCTAAAATTGAAACTTCTCTCGCAAAGCAAGTAGACGAATTCTCGAGTACAACTCTTTCTTGGTAAGAAATATTTACCTTTCGATAAGATCCAACTTATTCATAGTGAAAATCCAGTCGCATGTATCTGGACTTTTGGAATGTGATAATAGTTTTTCGTCATCGTCAGCCATATTTCCAGTATATATACCATGTAAGGGATCGTCGAACATCTCATCTAATGGTGCAGGCCCAACATCAAAATTGGAGTATCCGCTGTATTATTGTTTGGGACACTGTGCTGATGATTGAGCTCGTCATCCTGTACGGTTTGGTGATCTTTCGCTGCGGTGAACAATTGTTGGCTGTAATTTGTATCCCTCTCCATTTCAACACTTGGCAGGCCGGTTTTCAAAGTCGTAATGCAGAGGGCAGTTTCCTTATGAACTAATATGTACCAATTTACGTCTTCATCTTCAAGTATTTCGATCGGCGGTATATTCATGTTCGAAACTTTGAACTTCAATTTCATTTTTGTGCGCGGATCGAAAACACCAAGTTTCTCGTTCAACTGTAACAATAGCCCCAGTAGTGTAATACTGCTTAGCACTAAAATGGAAGTGTTTTTGTCCCTAATCCACTTCCATTCGTCATTCATGTGAACAAATTTTCTCCCGTGCGACACGATGAATCTTAAATTATTGTTTATTCCTAAAATGTTGGGATTGCAATGATAAGAATTATGCGCAATCAAAATGTCGAGTATATAATAGCATGGAAATGACACGTTCCAATATATAAATCTATGCAATACTACAAGGTCAAATTAAGGGTGTCAAGAATTTTCAATTGTCCAATTCGACAGTTTAGTTATCTATCCCGATAGTTTATAAATATTGGGTATGACAGTTCAAATGTCGATCTCGACAGTTGCAAAATGTCGAGTTCGACAATTCAAGCGTCGGAATTGCCGAGAAGCTTGAAATGTGTTTAGTAGCATTAATACTTATAATCATTTTTCAACTACAACAACTACAACATCACAACCTATTTCCAGAAATAAATGACTGAATGCTTCATTAAATATGAAAAACTTCACATTTTTCAAAATATTTTTGGTATGTTTTTCCTTCAAAAATATTAAAAAAAAAAAGACCATCGTGATTAATAGTAGTGATTATCATGTTGTTTTTAACATTCTAAAAAAAAGTAAACTATTATATAGAAATATAAACAATTAGTAATAACTGACCTTTTAAGAAAGATGAAGAAGATGGATAAAGTAATATCTTTTTGAGAAAGAAGAAAACGGATGAAGAAGATGAATGAAATAAGGGTTTGTTTGACAAGAAATTTATTTTTTAATGTTAACTAGGGTTTTGAAGGATTTTATATTCATTTTTTATTAACTAAATTCGTATTTTACAATATAATATTCATATATTCAATGATTATAATATACAAATTAAACAATCAAATCACAACATTAATTGTTTTGAAAAACAATCATGAATGAGCATTAAATGCTCCAAAAAATGTCAAATTAAGGATAATTTAGAAATTTGACAACAAAAAAGTAATATTTTTGTACAAATCGTGTGCACATCAAAAATTTTTGTGCATTTTCAAAAAAAGTGACATTTTGATAAATTTCCCTAATTTAATTAGCTAGACTGTTCTTAGAAGAATAACAATAGAGAATGATTATAATCAACGTTGAACCAACTTATTTTCTATAAAAAAAAATTTTAAATTAAACATATCATTGAATCATATCGTCGTGAAGACACAAACTGCTGCCTAGATGGATTAAGGAATACAATCATACCAGATATGATCACCATCTAATATAGCTAATGATGCACGGAACTAGTACACAATTTACTTTAGACAAAATCACTTACATATGCCGTAAAATAAGAGCATTAGCTACAAGTTACGCCCAAACTTATGCTTTTGCATATTAATCTTATCCGAGGGGACATTCTAAATCGTAATAATTTTTTTTTGAAGGGCAAAAAGCTTGTCATCAAACTTACCAAGTCATTTAAAATAATGAAGAGTCCCAAGAATCGATTATACACGTTATGCAATTATTGATTAATTAGTATTATATACATGAATCTATGCTAGAGGAAATAGGGAAGAAGATTTGTCTCCCTGAAGGTAAACATTAATAGAGACAACATAAATATTTTTCAGGCGTGAGTCAATAATTCACTATTTCATACGAAGAGATCTTATAATTATTGAGGTTTAAGGTTTTTTGGTGTGTTTTATTTCTTCCTGGAGAAAGCCTTTATATAGGCAGATTACATAACACAGATCCTATATCAAAGGAATACATCAAGGTAGATATCTCTCTCATATAGGAAGATATACTCCTCTCCATACAAATTACCTATAATTTAGCCAATCACATGCTAACACTCCCTCTCAAGTTGGCGCATAGATGTCTTCTAAGCCTAACTTGTCCAGAGATTTATGAAGAATTTCAGTAGAAACTGCATGAGTTAGAATGTCTGCTAGCTGCTCACTTGATCGAATGAAAGGAATGTCCACCAACTTTAGATTCAGCTTCTCTTTGATGAAGTGTCGATCTACCTCAATGTGTTTAGTTCGATCATGTTGTATCGGATTATTAGCTATTTCCCGAGCTGCTTGGTTGTCACAGTATAATAGCATAGGTTCCTTTGGCTTGAAACCTATTTCAATAAGCAAGATCCTAAGCCATAAAAGTTCACATATCCCAAGAACCATGCCTCTATATTCTGCTTCTGCTGAAGATCTTGCTGTTACATTTTGTTTTTTACTTCTCCATGTGACAAGATTTCCAGCAACAAATGTAAAGTAGCCAGAGGTGGACCTTCGGTCAGTGATGTTTCCAGCCCAATCCGCATCGGTAAATCCTTTCACTTTCATATGTCCATGTCTCTTGAATGTCAGTCCTTTCCCTGGAGCTCCCTTTAGGTAACTCAAAATTCTCATTACAGCAGCCATATGATCTTCACTTGGAGCATGCATAAACTGACTTACCACACTAATGGCATAGGCAATGTCTGGACGTGTGTGGGACAAGTAAATTAATCTTCCTACCAATCATTAGTATCTTTCCTCGTTGGTTGGTACTTGTTCTGGGTAAATGGAAAGGCGATGATTCTGAACAATAGGAGTCTCTGTTGGTTTACATTCCAGCATACCGGTTTCGGATAAGAGATCTAGTATATACTTTCGTTGTGACAAATATATACCATCCTTGGACCTTGCAACTTCAATCCCCAAAAAATATTTCAGTCCTCCTAAATCTTTCATTTCAAATTCAGAAGACAAGCATTCTTGTAGCCTTTTCATTTCATCTGTGTCATCACCAGTTACGATCATATCGTCTACATAGATAATGAGCAATGTAACTCTACCATTCTTACGTTTGATAAATAGAGTGTGATCTGAGTCGCCTTGGTGATAGCCAATTTTTTTCATAGCATCTGTGAACCTCCCAAACCATGCCCTTGGCGATTGTTTCAAGCCATGCAATGCTTTCCGCAATCTGCAAACTTTTCCACTAGAATGTGGAGTATTGAATCCAGGTGGGAGATGCATATACACTTCCTCTTCCAAATCTCCATGAAGGAATGCGTTCTTTACATCAAATTGTTTCAAAGGCCAATTAAAATTCGCTGCCAAGGATAATAAGACTCTGATGGTGTTCATTTTGGCAACTGGAGCAAAAGTTTCTTGATAGTCAATGCCGAATGACTGAGTATATCCCTTTGCTACTAACCTCGCCTTGTACCGATCAATTGTCCCATCTGCTTTGTGCTTGAGGGTGAATATCCATTTACAACCCACTGGATTTTTTTTTGAAGGAAGTGACACAACATTCCATGTGCCATTTTTTTGTAGTGCATCCATTTCAACTTGCATTGCCTCTGCCCATTTTGGATTTTTTAGAGCTT